ATTGGTTAGAATTATATTGGTGGTCACCTTGCGTTCCAGTGTTTTTGCGCTCACCACCACCTGCTACTACACCGGAATGCCGAGTTCCAGTGTGAAATGACAACACTGGAACAAAACACACTTGAACGCATCCGGAATCCGGATAAAATTGACCAATCACAATGGACTCGTTCCAGTCTTTTTCGTTCCAGTGTGGCCAAAAAGTTTCCCCGACCAGGGCCTTAGTGTCCCTTAAAATCCGTCGTTGCCTGTATGTGGCGAGGCCACGTGGATGTGGGATGATGGGCTTGCCACCGCATGTGCCAGTGTTTTACTTTCGTGTCTTGGACCCCTTGAACAACATCCTGGTGGCCTTCGTCTTGTAGCCATGGGTACACGCATAACCAGTTGTTACAGCTGCGTTCTTAATGTTTTTTCCGCCAAGAGCATTACGTTTTTTGCAAGCCATGGGCGCCGTCTACGCTTGGCGTTGCAAAGTCCATGGTCAATGGTGGTGGATTGACTTACAAGGTAATCGAAGCGTATAAGGATATTGGCTTCAATATTATTAGAATTTATTTTGCCAAATGCAAATCATCCATTTGGTATACTGATCTCCCTCCACTTTGAAACAGAGCAAATTATACAATTTAGAAAGAGAATCAAATTTTGCAGGTACTGTTTACTTCCAATGACCCATGTCAACCAACTACTTCAATTCAGTATTATCATTAGTACCTGTACGATTCCAACAGTTGACGATCTCCAAATTTTATAACACTGTGAGTATAACATTTCGTAAATTATCGGGTTTGTCCCGTTTCAAAGTGGGGGGGGGTCAGTAATCACTTTTGATTGGATAATTCAAATAAGCATTCAAAATATTCTGGCGCGACTTGCACAGCGTAGTTCCCTGTAGTGAGCGGGCATCTACTACCAGGGGCATACCAGGTCAATCAAATAATTGACGGACAAACCCAATGAGACCTTCCGCACCTGTCGAGGAGGAGATGTCGAGCGCGCATGCTCCAAGGGCGACGTCTGCTCCTCCTGACGGTCATCTTACCCATTTTGTGCCACTTCACGGCAGTAGTCATCGTGGCGTCCAAGCAATTTACATCCTGGCAGTCCCTGGTGAATAAATTCATCCAGAAGTGAACGCCAGACCTTCAAGGTGATGATCTCGATGATACAATCGGCACGTCAGTACGATCGATTAGTATGGCGGAGAGTATCTCACATCGCGTCCATCATTGCATCGCAACGACTGACTCGACTGCGTCGACAGCTTAGGCCTCTTACAGGCACAGACAATATGCGGGGGTGTCTTGCACATGTCATGATCGAAGCCGCTCTCGCTCCAGGCAACCGACCTCTCCGTTTTGGCTTCCTACGTTATCAGCCCAACTCTCGGTGCTCCTTCAGCCGTCTCGCTAATGTATCATCACTTTGGAACGAAGTGTGGAAGACATAGTATCACCTACCTGCGGATAAACGCTGCCAAACCCAGACACCTTTGGCGCAGCTGTGAGAGATGCCAGTCTGGCGTCAGAGCAACTCGCTGTTTTGTGTCCCGTTGAACATGAACGGGCTGCTTGTCACAATAATCACTCCTGTCGCTACAAAGACAAAAAGACACGTAATGGTATGAGCACTTGATGTGATCGGGATTCCTCTGCCTGAGCGACTTCCTCATCCCGGCACTCAACGGACAACCCCAGACGAGCTCGACGATATTGTCCTGCCTGCAACACGACGGTTAGAGTACATTGATCCAGTGCCGTACTCAGTAGCACAGGTCTACAGCAGACTTACCGTCATCACCAGGCATGTGTACGCTTCAGTTGGACGCGAGTTGTGGTCACCATGTTCAACTCAACATCCCTTGGCATCTCCCGTTCAATGCCACCTACTAGGAGGCTCTCACAGAACTTCGTGAGGAGACACAATAAGTCATTAAATGGGCGTGCTTTAATCCACTCCAATTGATTGTCCATTGTTTTGACTTAATTTAAGTAAACATATCTGGACGAAATCTTATTGAAATTTTTATTGGGCTGAAGAATGCAAAAGGTTTGTTCTCCTTTTACATACCCACTTCAGCATTCGTTATGGCGTCTTTTGGGTACTTAGCTACATCGAACAATGAACACAGTGATGGGGGCAGTTGACTCCCGGGCAAAGCTTGTGATGTATATCGAAAATGTAAGACTGGCTGGGGTAGCCAACTGGCTATTCCAACCAATAGTACCACGTTTTCAGATTCGCCAACCAGTTGGTGAATGCACACTAATGGTACGACATGCAGCCTCCAAGTAATTTCGCGACACTGCGCCGTCCATGCTCGCCGTCAGCAGCTCCTGGTGAAGTATCACACGCTTTTCATTGGACAGATTTTACTTAAACTTTGTATTGCGTTCTTGCTTCGACGTAGAATTTGCAAATCTTGCAGTAACATTGAAAAAATACGTCTAGATTCATTGTACGACGAAGAATATGCACCACTAACTTGCAGATCAATCGGATGCCTCCATCACCACTTTTTGTTACTGCCTGCAATTATTCCTTACTAGAGGTAGTACTTACTTTTCTACCGTGGCCCTGTGAAAGCACAGAATCGATTGATTAGTATGTTGCACGTGGGATTTTTTTACGAATGTCATTTTGTCGTGAACAAAGCGCAGGGAATGGATGAACCCAACAGATGTAGCGTTCGGGTTGGCACCTCGAAATCGCATGGTCAATACTTTCTTAGCAGAGCTCGGCATATTTTTGACTAGGTAGGTACCATCTCGCCCATGGGCACCGTACATAATAATGTATCGCACCAGAGCGCTGTAGTTCTATACGTCGCTCCAAGACAAATATTCATACGTTTATGCAACACAAGAATCGTTACTCTAGATACAACAACTTCCTCTATTCCGCAAATCGCAAAAAATGGAGACTTATAACTTCGAAACCAATTTCTGCGGCTTGACTATTCAGAAAAGAGCGAAATTTGGCGCAAGACAGCCAAAGAAAAGACGAATATGCAGTAATTTTCATATTATTTTTATTATTTCTCGACGCTGCACAACGAACGATCAAACGTTTAAGCTCAGGACAGCCAATCTTTAAACACCTGTAACTCAATCAGTTTGGATCCAATCGAGCTCCAATCAAGCGCAAACGAACTCGTCTCGTTGCGTAAATACAGTGCGCGCCACTTGATTGCAGACACCCCTAATTTTCAGTAGAAAATCCCGCCAATCAAGTTGCTTAATTCAGCACAATACGACGAAAATCAGCTTCCATTGACGGGTATTTTGGTGTGTTGGAAGCTTCACGAGCAATTTTGGTTGCATCGCTTTGGCGGGAAAACGTATTCGTGAGTGCGACAGATAATTGTAGGTCACTTGTTAATTTGCGCCTTTGTTCGCAACTCGTCTCTCAACTGTCCACGCAAAGGTATCAACAACTATGCCTGCATCTTCGCCACACTTCCACATCAATATAGAATGGGAAATGTGCCACAATTAACAATTGAAGAGCAAGTGACAGTGCGAATTTTTCGCAACCACAATCTGTCCTATCGAGCACTTGCAAGCCACTTGGGTCGTTCCAAGGACACTATAGGAGCCTACCTGAAGGCCCCTGACAGCTACGGCAAAAAATGCAAGGGACGTAAAGCCACAAAAATCGTCCAAAACGAGTGCCGCAGACTTTTTCGTGCTGCAGCGGCATGTGGTGCATCCGCCAGAAGCCTCCATGCATCATTTCAACTGGAAGGCTCAGTTAGAACTTGTCGATGACGCTTGAAGACATGTCGATTTCTCAAGGTCAAGAAGCGGAAGAACACCCCTCGCCTCAAGCTCGCCCACAAGGAAGCGCGGTTGAAGTACGCGAAAGGTCACTTGGACAATCCTCCAAGTTAGACTGAAATCATCTGGTCCGACGAGAAGAAATTCAACCTCGATGGACCGGATGGCTTTCAGTACTACTGGGAGGATCTTCGCAAAGAACCTGCCTCGTTCTTCACTCGCGCTAACAATGGGGGCGGCGTGATGGTGTGGGGTGCATTTTCCGGCGCTGGATTGGCCGACTTGGCCATCTTGGATGGAAAACAAAACTCAGAAAAGTACATCGACACCGTCAGCAACCACTAGTTCCCATTTGGCCATGAACATTATGGACCAAATTTTGTCTTTATGCAAGATAATGCATTGATCCACCGCTCCAAGGTTACCATGAAGTTTTTCAAGACGAAGGCGTGACGTTGTTCGATCACCCGACACTCTCCCCAGACCGCAATCCCATTGAGAATGTGTGGGGATATTTGGTTCGCAAGATTTACCCAAACGGAAAACAATATATGACCAAGGAAGACCTCATTGTGACCATCAAGGAAGAGTGGGCGAAAACCCTCAAGAGTATCTCAACAAGTTGATCAAGTCATCGCCAAAGCGGTGCGTTGCTGTTGTTGCTGCTAAGGGCAACAAATGCAACTATTAGCAGCCATATTGCCTGCGTATTTTCACTGATAACATCAATTTTTCATTCTGGCTGCAATTATCTGTCGCAAGCAAATAGGATAAAAGTCGTGAAGTGATGTGAAGGAAAGGGTTTCATGGTTTGAATCTACCGATATATGATCTGTGTTCGAGTTCTACGGAGGAAAGGCAACTCGAAGTGGTAGACATCTTGAAATACCGACTCCATGGCGCGCACTGTATAGCTAGCATACCTCAGAACATCTGAAAGCGTCGGGTAGGTCGCGACGACGAACGACATAGTCTGTACCATGAACTGCTAGAGAACAAGCCGAACGGCCGTCTGGCCAAAGGAAAGGCCAAGGAGATCCTTCTCAAGTTTGGCATTTCGAGGCAAACGTTGTCCAAGGTGTGGAGGCGCGGTCAGCGACGAAAGCCCAGTCAGGGCTTGCTGATGTGACATTGAAAAAACGGGATCGAGCGTCGGCCGTCACGTCCTATCGAGGACATTGCGTCCGCCGTAAAGAGTGTCCCACAGAATCATCGCAGGACGTTAGCGTTGTTGGCTGCTTCCGATGGGATACCCTCGACAACGCTTTGGCGTGTACTTCAGTAAAAAAGTTGCGGCGCCGAACGAGCCGACTGAAACCATGGTCACTGACAAACACAAAGCGGATCGTGTCGCGTTTATACGTTCCTTCGTCCGCGAGTCGCCACGAGTCTCAATGTGCTGGGACGATATGCTGGATCGTGTTCACATCGGCAAAATGTGGTTCTATCTTACGTTGGTCAACCCCCGATACTACCTCTGGCATGACGAGGCCGTACCTGTACGCAAGTGTTCCTCCAAGCGTCACATCATCGTGGTGATGTTCTTGACCGCGGTGGCGCGTGTACACTTTGACTACGCGCAAAAGACAATGTGGGATGGGAAGGTCGGCATGTGGCCATTTGTGACCGCGGAGCCAGTACGACGTATGAGCAACAACCGAGATCGCGAAGCTTTGGTCACGACACCTGTAACTATCACCAAGAACGTGTACTGTGAGTACCTGCTGCAACAAGTCATTCCAAGCATCAAGTAGGTTTGGCCCGGTCGACGCGATCAACCTATCTACATCCAGCAAGAAAATGCTCGACCTCATGTCGAAGTCATATACCCTGCCGTGGTTGCTGCTGGCCGTTCGGGTGGGTGGGACATTCAACTTGTCGCACAACAAGCAATGAGACCTGACTCTAACGTTCTGGATCTTGGATTCTTGAATTCACTTCAAGCCCTACAGCATCGTCAAGTTGTTACTGGAATCGATAATCTTGTTGCCGCCGTACATGGCGCGTACAACGTACTGGATTGGCGAATTCTGGAGATGACGTTCACGACGCTACAGCGCGTCATGGAGGAGTCATTGAAAATGGGCGGTGACAACTCATACAAGTTGCCACATCAGAGCAAGGACAAAATAGCAAGACTGAGACCAACCGCCCCTTTAGTGGGTGATTCTGACGTAGTCATTGTCATCGAAGCAATGAATGTTCGGAAGGACTTCGAACGTAGAGTAGATAACTTTTCCAGTGTGTTGGCATCATGTGACATTGAGGGTGTGATCAATACGTCAAATGTTGATCACCTCTGCACCATTGTCCATGACGTGACGATATGATTTGCAGCATGTCGTGTTGGTTCTCGTCGTAAAATCAGCTTTGTGAATAAAATTACACCTTTTCGACTCAGAGAGCATACAGAAGATAAAACTTCGAAGTATTTAAGTTTGAAAAATCAATTTCCTCCAGGTCTGTGGAATGGAGGAAGTAAAATTTTGCGTTCAAACTTGATAATTTGGTCGGCGCCTGGGGGTCGACTCGTTAACTCAGCACAGGGAAAAATATCTGGTGCGATGTTTCGAACGAATACGGTACGCTACGTACTTTATCCTTTATACTACTCTGGTCCACAATTATATTGATATTTGGCGCATTGACTTGGTCCAAATTGGTTCCGACGTCTTTAATATTGACCATTCTATTCATACGACACCTCTCCAGGAAACTTGGAATCTTGGAATTTGTGTTGACTTGTGATAATATATACTTCAAGCTGATGCTTGCTTGACCGTGGCAACTCACCAGAAAACCCAAGTGGTCCTCGTCATTGAGACGCAAAATCAGCATCATCAGCGCTTCCATCAATACGTTGAAACGAGTAAAATCGACTCGACCGTATAACTTTGTTAATGTGAGGAAACAAGTATTAATGCTACCACCATGTTGTATCGACATGTTAATTACCCTTTGAAGCGTAAGAAACGACTTAACCAATACGTCGTGGGCTTCAATCACCTTAGACGTCCACTTCAGCCTCGCCCACAATTGGATCAACACAATATAAAGTGTTAAACAAATACATCTGGCAAATTCAGTCTGTATAAACTAATACCCATTATGCGTGATTTTTGTAGCGTCGGCGGCGGTCCGATATGGGTCTTTGTACAAGCAACCACCTCATGACTTTTTACCGTAGTGTTGACATTGGCCTGGGTGGGTGTTGTTGACCTCGTAGTGCTTCTTAATGTGGCATTCACTGAATAAATAGAACATCAAGTTGCAGTAGGTGCAGAACTTCTCGCGAGCTTCGGCGCGTAGGCTTCATCCACACTGTAAACCTTCGGCACATTGGTGGCCTTGTTTGCGTGCGCGATCGGATCATCGACGGTTTTTCACCGCCTTGATCAAGTTGATCAGCGTGGAGAATTTGGGGTCTTGTTTGGCAATACGCTCGAAGGTCAAGTCTACCTTGGCATCAAAGCTCAATGGTAAAAAACTTGATGATGCGGTCGGCTTCGGGAGTCATGTCAATGGCTTCGAAGAGCTTGCGAGGGCATTCCTTGGAGTTGTGGATAAACGTCGCATACGACTCACGCTGTTGTCATGCGAGGTCGCGAGTTCGCGACGGAGCGGCATCTGGTTGAAAATTGTGGTTTCTCGTGAGTCTCCTTGAGGTGGCACCAGGAGAAGTTCGTATGAACCATCGTGGGGTTGGTCTTCTCGAGCTCGTTTTCCTTGATGTACATCAGATTGATACAGTGGAGGGACTAGTTGATGTAGGACTTGGACATGTAGTCATCGGCTTCGTCGTTTTCCTCCCAGCGGATGGTTGACGTTAACTACTTGCATAGCTATTGTTGGCAACTTTCTGTTCGATGCGATCTGCCCATTCGGCGTAATGGGACCCTTCAGCCATGAGCTGGACGGCCTCCATAACGGCATATTGCGTTGGGCTCTGAACCTGAAGCGATGTGGTGCGCAGTGGTGGCCAGGGTGGCGGAACAGAGCGGGGCAAATTGCAAGGTGAATTCTTGATGGTCATGGAGAAAGTATTGCTAACAAAGATATACATATACACAAACTATGCAATAGACCTCAAACACAAAGACTGTGTAATCAACCAGAATCACACCAGTATTCAAATTCACAAAACACGCATGGAAGTCACAACATGATTAGTCAGTCATAGGATGATTGTCGTGAAACAAATATTTCAGTCAGCAACTCACCACTCAATCAAGTGTGCAATCAGTAAATGAGCAAAAAGCGAATGACTTCGGAGATTACTCAGTGATCTCCGAAGTCACTCAAAGTCATTTTCAAAACGTGTTGTACAATCCAAAGACACAAGTCAACTGAATTCAAAATCGTGAAACTGACAGTCCGCGAGAGCATCGAGAGCACCAGCGCGTGTTACTTGGGACTGGGTAGGTCAAATTTCTTAATTCTTTTATCCTTCGAATTGCTATAATGTGTTGAATAAAATGCTCCCAACAGAAAACTCCAGAACACAATGCACTTCAAAATATTCTCGCTTATCGTGCTCAAACTTGGCCAATTTCGGACGTGTAAGCTAATAAACTGTGTAATTGAATGTTAACCTGAGGAGCAGCAATAAAAAATTTCGGCAACAATAAAACCTCTATATTCCAATACAATAAATGGATGCCCAGAAATAGAAAAATCGCTCAATCTTCGTCATTTCTACTCCGTTTTGCACGAAAACGGTACCAAAATCACCGCACGCACAAGGCCAATCGTTTGCACATCGAATGAAAGCCCGAAAACTGTGGAAGTTACGGGCAAAAAACCATTTTCTATGGACATTGAGGTCATCCAGCGAATAAAAATCTTTGTCAAGCAGCGCCGGGGGCGCAGCCTCACGTACCACGAGAAGCTAGATATTCTCATGCTTCAAGCAACTTTACGAGAAGCTCAGGTCGTTGACGTTGCCGGTGCAATTGCTAATCTCATTGGCCGCAGCACAAATGTTGTGAAGAACGTCCTCGCCGAATTTCTCCGGCATGGCGAAGTCTCGGTCAAACCTCCTCCGTCAAACACTTCAAAGCATTCCTCTCGTGTGCCATATACTCGACATGTTCGTTGCATGGTCCGTAAGTTCATTCGGGACCGGTGTGTTACACGAACAAGGACTGTTGCCAAGGATGTCATGTCGATGCTCGTGGATACAGACGTACTCTCTGTCAATGAGTACAGTCCCAAGGACAATTCTTCGTGCCTTCGGTCGGTTCAGGCATTCCTTGCTAAGGAAGGATATGAAAGAGGAAAACGATCGGGTGACACGACGTACAGACTGTCAAGAGACCATGAGTTGGCACGTGATGCGTACGTCGGGTTCATGGTTCCAACTGTCAGCGCCCAACCACGGAGGCCAATCGTGTATTTGGACGAGAGTTTCATCCACCATCACTACTCTCGACATGCGGACAGCTTGTTTGATCCCACTGACCCCGAAGCAACGAAACCCAAGCGTAAAGGACGGCGTTACTGCTTCATTGCCGCAATCCTTGATGATGGATCAGACGTGAGTCATCTGCTTGGCTTGGAGATTTTTGTTGGTGGGAAGAAGGATGACAAAGAAGTGAAAGATTACCATGCTATGTTCAATCACAAGTACTTCACTGCTTGGTTCACAAGACAAATGGACGAAGTCGAAGATTTAGGTTGGAGGTCAGCGGTTTTCGTCATGGACAATGCAAAGTACCACAAGGTGAAACCAGAGTCAACTCCAAAAGGGAACTGGAAAAAGGAGGACATGTACCAAGCCTGTTTGAAGTACGGTCTCAATGATGTGTCCCAGTCGGATCTCAAATCTGCTATGTGGGCCAAGTTGAAGAAGTATGTGGACGAGAACATCTTGCCTGTGGTTGTGAGTATGGCCCACCGTCGTGGTCACCATGTCGTCTACACTGCTCCGGGGTTTTCCGAGCTCCAACCAATTGAAATGATATGGGCGAATGTGAAAGGGACAGTGGGTCGTGCTTACACCTCCAAGACGACCTTCAAGGACGTGTTGGAACGTCTGGAAAAGGTCTTTTGGGAATTGGGCACTCCTACGATTTGTCAAACCATCCAAATCTCCACATGTAAGCAAATTTCACTGGATAGTGCCCTCCGGAATGCTGAAGTGACTGCCGACATCACAGAAATTGATCAAAGTCACTGTGGAAGTGACTCCTCACTGTCAAGAGGTATGTCAAGTGGAGATGAGAACATGATGATACTTCTGACAGCTAATAACTCTGTAAAGTAATTTTTGCATTTATATCATTCCGAAGAGGTAAACCAGTTGTTGAATATACAGCTCTCCTCCATGAAATAGTTAATAAGTTTTGGAATTTGAGCTGGTGCTCTCGATGATCTCGCGCACTATGAATAACATCGCAAAACATAATGTCATGAGTGGCGCCAAAACGAGACA